CTGTGAAAAATGAAGCCACTGACTTTAAAACACGAAAGAAATGGATTTAATTTCACCGTCGAGTCAAGTTAATGGATTTTAGCAAGTTGGGAGTCTGCGTGCAGCTCTCCATCAATGAAGTAGGAGGCGGCTGTGTGAATATGTGCCTTGTATACTGGGCAGCGCTGGTAAACATGGGCAGCATGCTAACTGGAGACATGAAGGTCAGAAAAGACTCAGAAAAGACCAGACAGCATTCGTCGCACATAGCTTGGATATACTTAGCTTAGTATGTGTTATACTTCCTCAGCCCACTCCATATGACATGTACAGCTAAGAGCCTTTTTTAGGGAAAGATTTTTTTAAATAAATAATTTCAGGACAAACTGATTTTGCTTTCCAGACTAGAGTCATCTTAGCATAGCAAATTCTAATCTAAGTACATTTATTCATTCCTCTGTATGGCATGCTACAGCAGAATATGTATCTTTCTGCCACCCACACAAGCCCTGCAAACACTGACTTTGATAAATGAAACAGTAAAGCTTTTTTCCCCCCTACATGAGATGTATATTTCACCAGGGAAAGTCTTGTGAATAATACAGGTCACGTAGTCTATTATTTACTTATTTATCATCCGTTTGTATTATATTTGCTATTCCTTCTAAGCATTTTCAAAAGAGAAATCAAATCAAATAAATTAAATATTAGACTATGAATCATAGTGCGTTAAGTATTTGATACCAATCAAAACTTTCACTGCGAACCATCTGTTGTACATCATAATCACATATTCACCAAAACTTTCTCTAGTTATTGTATCTTCTGATCATTAAACAGATGGTTGGAAATGATTCACTCTGAAGACTGAAGTCACATACATCACACTCTCATTAACTGTCAGCAGCACAGCTCTCAGAGCAGCAGGCACAGTTGAAGTCACCAAAACATTACCACAGCCACACTGGGCCTACAGTAGTAAATGCGGCCATGCAGGATATCATTGAGTACTCTTGACCATTATTTAAAAGCACCCCTGATACCCGTGGCAAATCGATTCACTTGGTATTCACATGCAAATAAAAGCCTTGTGGTTACACCTTAATGTCGCTGCTGTCTTCTCTTGAATTTTTATGAGGTATGAGAAAAATTAAGCATTTTTTTTACCCTATGATCTATTTTTAAGCACAAAGTGTAGAAGAATTCCCTCCCCTGGAGTTTTGCTGTTGTTTGATTCAGGGCAGCATTATTCAGCTGTGGCTGTGACTCAGACATGAAGCTACACTTCTAGGAGCAGCCAGTTTTTGTGCTTCAGCTGAAGGATATGATGCAGGAGGAGCAGAAAAACTCTGTGTGTATTTTTTTTGTGAGTAAAATGTGTCTGTACAGCCTCATCTTTTCTGTACTATGCATCTGTGTGTCTCTCATTTTACTCTCTCCCTCTTTCCTTTTCTGTTGCATCAACATTCAGAAATGTACAGACTAAAAGTTGACTACATTTGAAGAAGACATACATCTCTAGCACATGCACATACCTGAGATGGTGTTATTAGGATGAGCACACATTTATATTAGCACATATGTTCTAACCCACCTGATTATTCTGAGGCAATTGCTGGAAAGGTGGATCTTACAGATCTTATAGCTGGACACTAGTCTAATCTGTTCACACAAAGGCCTGATTGGGTTAAGTGCCTTTATTGCTTTGAATCTGGACCAGTGTGGTGCTTTGGTTATGCAGAGTGCTGCTAGGTGATTATCTATTATTGCAGAAGATAAACCTAACACATCTTGATTGGTGCTTGTGTGGAGCATGGGAAAAGTCAGATCACTGCTCTATTAAATGAATGAGAGTACCATGAGCGTCTGTGCTTATTTCAACATTTCTGTCACTGAATGACAGATTTGTTGAATCAAGAAATCAAACAGCAATCAAAATTCATTTATATAAGTTTTAGCTGTAATATTACTGGTGTATAAATGACATTACATTACATTCATTTGGCGGATGCTTTGGTCCAAAGAGACTTACCATTAACACAGTTGTATAAACAGAAGTCAAACATGGCATAGTTTCTTGATGCTATTCATCTTATAACCAAAAAACGGAGAATAATTATTATTATTTGATGGATTGTTTGAATTAAATTATATACAAACACGAGATCAGATCATGTTCACCAAAGGATAACTAGTTATGTTTGTGATCTACTGATCCCTCCTCTAATGTCATCAGCACATTGTCATTTGTGGTCCAGAGTGAAATATCTCAGCAACTGTTTGATGGATTACAGTACAATCTGATCCAGACCATTATGGTTTTTAGTCATGATTTTGGACAAAACAGGTATCACTATTTATAATAATAATAGTAGCAGAGCTTATACCGGCTAAACAGGTAGCTTAAACATTATATACTTGTAATGATCTTACCATAATATTAGCTTGACATTTTGCTTGTCCTTATGGTGGATTACACATAATATCAAAACAAACAACTTCCACTATTGCTGCTAATTAATATTCTCCTATGGAAACCTTCTGAATCAGAGTTCAACTGCATTATGTCCTGTTTGAACTGACACAGTTTTGCTTATGAAACCTTCCAAACGTGCTGGAGAAAATCAAAAGATTAAAATGAAATCTGTTTTTCTCAAGTGCTTGAGGGTCCTCAAAACTGCATATTTGAGGAAGGAGATTTTCACTTTAAGGCAATGTTACTCTTTAAACACTGCTGCAAATGCATTTAAGACCAAAGAAAAACACTTTACAGCCCACAGCAAAAACAAATACACCATTCCTGGACAGAAATAGATGGTCTTTTTTTGTTCATTCTGTGAGCAGTGCAGACTGTTTGCTCGAGGGCATGGGGAATACCATGACATCTGGGTCCAACATTCCCATGATTCCCATTATAGCAGCATACCAGAAACCTCATCCAAGCCTGTTTTTTATCATTTAAGAAAAATCTCCAAGATAAGACACATGCTCAAGTTTAATGACACAGAAAAAGTCATATGTGCTTTTATATCCTCAAGCTTAGACTACTGTAACTCTCTTTTTACCTGTTTAACTTTAAGACCGAAAAAGAGACTGTTTTGCGATTACCACAGTTTTGGAATAGCCTTAAAGGTATAATGATTTCCTTTTCCATTATTGTACCACCTTCACATTTCCTCTTTATATTAATATTTTATGTTCTTTTTATTTTTACTTTGTTGTCATTACATTACAGTCCTATAGTTCCACTGGTAGAGTTATGGAATAGCCCGCTGTACAAGTAAAGCTCTGAGACTAAAAGTAAGTGAGACAATAATACATAAGGTAAGGCATATCCACATTATTCATTATCAGTA